CCCCTCTCTCCCGCCTTGGAATTGCAACACTGGAAAAGGAAAAAAAACATGGAATTATCCCCAAGCTTCCCGGTTTTCCAGCTGTTGGGAAGCGGCCCGGCTCAAGGTGGAACTTGCCACCGACTCCCCCATTCCCGAGGGATTTGGCACTTAGGAGCAACGGGAATCGGCAGCTGGTTTTTTGAGGAAACACTTTGGAAACACTACAGGAAAGGCGCCGGAGCACCAGGATGAGGCCGAGTTTTCCAGCTGGGAAAATCCCAAGGATCTCAGAGGGGTATCCAGGATTCTCCCACAGCACCGGGAATCCGCCAGGAAGCTCCACCGGGAATCTCGGCCACCGCTGCAGATCCGGAGCCGCCTCGACTTTCTTCCTCCTCGCCGCCATTCCGGAGGTTTTCCCAGCTTCCAGGCGTGTTTTCCCTGGATTTTTGACGGTACCAGCGGGAGCGGACGGGGCCCGTCCCCCGCGTCCTGTGTCTCTTCGCACTTTAAATCCGGGAGCCGCCGGGTTTTCGGGAATTTCGGGAAGCTGCCGGTCTCATTCCCCCCGCTCCTGCCGCCGGATCCGTTATTTATGGACCGAGGGAAAAGCTGCCGGATTTTCTCCTCCGCTTCCCATCCCCACATCCCTGTAAATAGAAGATGGGGGGCAGAGGGGGGGATTTTTAAGGATCGATGGGAAAAATCTGCCCGACTCCGGCCGGGATAACGGGAGCTCCAGGTCGGGAAGCTGCAAGGATGGAGCAAAGCGGGAAAATTTCCCGAAAATCCCCCAAAATCTCCGGTCACGTTTCACCCATTCCAGCTGCCGAAGGAGAAACGATCCAGAGGAATGGAAACAAATTCCAGGCCGGAAGACGCTTCCCGGCACCTTTTGCGGCGTTCCAGCTGGATTCCGCTCCTGTTTTCCCCCTTTTTTCTTTCTTTCCCTGATTTTCCACTGCTCTTTTTGTCCCCGCCCCCCATTTTGGGGCATTTTCCGCCCTTTTTCCCTTTTCCAGCACCTGGATTTCACCACTACACTTAATCCCCTTATTTTATGGGGAGGGAACAAAACAAATCCTGGAATTCTGCCGGAATATCCTATGGAAAACCCCAGCGGCGCCTTAGCACGGGGATACACAGGATGGCGACCCCGGAATGTCCCGATCCAACCCAGCCATTCCGCAGGGAAAGGGATGGGAGCGGGAATCCGGCCATCGCCGTCACTCCGGAATTGGAAAAAGGGGGATTTTTTTTTTGGGAAGCGAGGCAGGAAAACCAGGAAGGCCACGTCTATGTACAAAAAAAAAAATGAAAAAAAGAAAAAAAAAAAGGAAGAAATAAAAAGCATAACGGCGAATTTTGGGCCATTTTACAGCCAGTCGGACGCGGGGTTATTCCAATTTTCCGACATTCCCAATTTTCACTGCTTTGCCGGATGTTTTTTTTTCCCGAAAAAAGTAAAAAAAACCCCTCAGAAACGGTTAAATTATCCCCCCTCCAAAAGAACGGGGCAGATCCGGGGGGTTTTGACGTTTTATTTGTCCCAAATCCGTAGCCGCCGGTTATCCCGCCCGGAAGCTGCTTTCCATGTGGGAATATCCGGAGTGGGGAGGGGGGTTCAGTTACCCCCCAGATAAGTGGAGCTGGGAGCCCCATTTGGGGAATTTTTCCTTGTTTTTTTCCCTCTGGAATTTTCCCCAGGTGGCATCTAGGGCGGCCCCAACCTGCAAGGGTGTTTTGGGAAGGAAAAGTCTGGAATTGGAGCTGTCGGGGTGCAGAAAAGTGGCATTTTCAAGAAAAAGAAGAAAAAAAACAACATGTTTTATACAAAATCATAGTATTTGCAAAAAAAAAAAAAAGCTTTTTTTTTTTTTTTTGCAAAAAAGTGATATCCACAGGAAAGAATTATAAAATACAGCAAGATTTTGGTGTTTGCCAAATGTGGATTTTGCAAAAAGGCAGGATTTGCCAAAAAAGGTTTTTTTGCCCCAAAAAGCAGTAGTCGGAACACATATTTGCAGGATGTGGCATTTGGCCCCCAAAAATGGCTTTAAAAAAAAAAATGGTTTCGTGTTTGCAAAAAGACCTCTGCATTTGCCAAAATTCTGGAGTTTGCCCCCAAAAAGTGGCACTTGTGTGAATGTGGCATTTGGGGGGGAAAAAAGTGGAATTGGCCAAAAAAAGAGGGTGTCATTGGCAAAAATGGCAGTATTTGGGCAAAAGGCCATGTGCGAAAATGGTGGGTTTTTCCCCAAAGGGCCTTGTGCAAAAACGGCACATTTTGCCCCATTTTGTGAGGAAATGGTGGCATTTGTGTGAAATTTAGGGTTTGGTGTCACACGACAGCGGGGTCGGTGACGTCGGACGGGGCCGCGAAATGGCGGCCGGGGCGGGGAAAGGGGGGGACGGAATGGCGGGCGGGGGGGGAAAAGG